TTTTATATTTAATTAAAATTTTTATTTAAAAATTTTACACATTATATTTGCTAACATGATATACAATTTAAATAAAAACAAAAATGAAATATGTTTCTGTTCAGGTCTCTTTACACATCTAAATTAGCAAGACTGTTACCTGTTTCTCAACAGACATAATGCTTAAAAGAAAATCTCTCATTAGGTCCATGAAAGTTTTCAAGCAGGCCATATTTAGTTTGGCAGCTTCCCCAAGGACCAGCAAGGCCAGTACCAAATCCAACCTGGATTATGAACAAATAGCAAAGACTTTAATGAAAAAGAACACTAAACAACTTTTAATGAAAAAGTAATAACTCAGAGGAAATGAATATTTGGAATAACAAGTACATTTATTTTTAATAAAGACTGGAATTGTTTGGCACTGATTAAGACAAAAGTCTACAAAAGAAAGATCAACATTTTGGCAAGATTTTTGTCCTTAGAATAATGCTCTGAAAAACTCTGGGGAAACTAAATAATATAAATAATCACATTTCTTCATAGATCCTTTATGACAGAACTCCCAAGTGCTCTGCTCCTACAGAATGCCCTCACAACTGTACAAGAGGTTTTTATTTTAACTGATTCCATAGGGTGAATTTAAGAGTGTTTTCTTCTCTAAACAGAGAACAAATAAAAAATGGTCTTCCATACTTCAAAAGTTCTGTATTATTTCATTTTATAGAAAGTACAATTTCTCAAAATACAATTACATTAAAATGAATGAAATACTGTTACATATTATTGTGAAAGTATTATATAATAATTGAAATTATACCAGAACTTGTTAACCATAAATGTACATATATTCTGAAATTTTCAGGAAATTAAATATTAAGAACTATTTTTAACAAGTTAAAGAGACATAATTCAAAACAGAACTAATAAAAATGCAAGTGTAAAAGTGCCTCTGCCCAGAACTGCTTATTGCCTTGATGTATAGATCACTAACAAATTCAAAAGTTAGTATATTTCACAAGTATATTTAAATTTCACAACCGTGATGCGTCAGACTACTAGGTTCAAATTCAACAACAATTTCAAAAGGGAGCACCTCTCATCATGAGAATTAAAAACAGTTCTACATATTTGGATAGAGTTTTACAGATCTCAATATGCTTTCATACTATTATTTCATTTTAATTTTTGACAATTTTGTACAAATTTAAGACTTTTCAAAACCTTTTTTTAAATATTAGGAAATGCAAACATAAATAGTTCTCGGAGACTTGCCTAAGTTCATATTTTTAAACTTGGTTAACTAACTGTAGCTATAATCTTTTTTTTTTTCCTCTGGTACCAGGGATCGAACTCAGGACCTTCTGCTTTCAAGGCAGGCGGCAGAACCACTGAGCTAAATCCCCAGCCCTATAATCTTCTTTGATATAGAGGTATTTTGTGTTTTTCAATTCTTCCTTTTAAAACCATTATTTAACCATTTCCGTATTTAATGTTAGTGTGGCAGATACTCGCTATTGACATGACAGAACCTGAATTTTGTTCAAGATAGCAAAGTGCTCAGTTAAAGTTGTCTCTTCAAGATAGACTGCTTTGCATCTTAATAGGAGTAGTGATTCCATGAGTCTAGTATTTGTCAAAAATCATAAATCAGTGTATATAAAATGTGATGTTTAATTACATCTCAGTAAATTTGATTCCAGATAAAGTTCCCAAACTTCCTTGAAGCTTGGAAGCACCATATAATACAGATTTCATTAACATATAAATTGAAATGGAAGCATATTATGAAAGCTTTAGTAAGCTACTATTTTTCTTGTTAAGAAAAAAATTAAATTAGGTAACATTATTTTTCTCCTTTGCTCATCCTCTTTTTGTTTGGAATTCCTACTTGATACTAGATGGTGGAACAGCCCTCTTGTAACAATGAGGACGGAAGTCACAAGTTAGAAATGACAAAAAGGAAGCCAGAAAGAGCTTGAGGTTTGTGGAATCCCTTAAGCATCAGCATTAGCACAGCACTGCTTTCCATGTGTAATTCATAAACTCTTATTTGGTTATGCAAGTGTAACTGGGTTTCTGCACATGCAGAAGACCAAATCTTAACAGATACACTTAGCATATTTTTTATGATCATAAATTGCAGAGTCAAAAAATTAAGGCTGACTCCTAGCTCAGCCATTAATTATACATATATGATGTAACACCCTATCTCAGTCTTAATTTGCTCATCTATAAAAAACAAGTATAATGAACCAAGATGTATGATGTAAAGGTACAAATGCCCAATGATGAATGTCATTATATTGTATACCTAAAATGTACTGATAAACTGAGGAGTTAAAAAAAAAAAAAGAAATCAACCAATAAAGCAAGTATACCAAAATCTACTTTTCAAAGACTTGAATAAAATACTTTGTAGAGGGCCGGGGATTTAGCTCAATGGTGCCCCCGGCTGCCTCACAATCGGAAGGTCCCGAGTTCGATCCCCGGTACCAAAAAATAAAAAAAATAAAAAATACTTTGTAGAATGATTAGGTTCAAACTGCTGAATTGAATTGAATTACAAAACACTATTTCTTCAAAGTTAAATAATCATGAGTTTGATAACTCTCTTTTATTATAAAGTTTTGGAGTAACAGAAAAAAGAGGTTCAGGGGATTCCCAAAATGGACAGTGATTCATTCCCAAGTACTTATCATTCATAATTCACAATATAGCCGAGCAAAGGGGAGGAGAGTCACAGAGTTTCTAAAATGTATTTTTTCCTTGAATATACTTGATAAGCATAAGATTTGGTTTCTTCTGTTCTCTTTTAGGTCTGGAAAATTTTATCTAATATATAGCATTTTTATTCAACTATGGACTGAAAAAGATTCATCAGTGTCAGCCACCCATGGTAGAAAAATTTCACCAGAAACACTATTTTCAATCAATACTGCTGACTGCAAAATTTTTTATAAGCAAAACTGCCTCTGCTAAAAGTAGAATAGAAGCATCGATAAACTAGAGTTTGTTAAAAATCAAAACTAAAAATCAATGTGCATGGAGAGAAGAACTCAAATTGGATTAGGCTAGAAATTTTAACCCTGCAGTATCTTCTTTGTGACTTGTCACAATGTAAAAAACTCAACTATCAGTACATTAACTTGGTTTTAAAATATTGTCAAATTATGTATGTACAAAGTAACTTATAATTATTATAGATTTCACCTAATTGTGTAATAAATTGAGCCAGAGTTCACTGGCTTTTCTAAAATAATAATAATAATACATTAAATAACATATATACATTTTTAAAGAAGCTAGGAACATCAACATCCAAAAGGTTTCCTGGGCTGGGGATTTAGCTCAGTGGTTTCGCTGCCTGCTGCACAAGTGCAAGGACCCGAGTTCGATCCCCGGTGCCAAAAAAAAAAGGTTTCCTTCCTTTTCCATACCTGTTTCCTCAATGAGCAGATTATCATTTTTAAAGATGGAATCAAAATGTCTCCAATTAATAACAAACTTAATGTTGGCATCCATGAGAATGCATGGGTTTTGTCACCAAAATTTAAGAAAAACTCTAAGCACTGAGAGGCAGAAGTCAGAAATGCATGTGATCCAGGGGCAGTCAGTGGAAGGCCTTCAGGAAGTAGAGTACAGCTACTGTTTTGTGCACCACTTCAGAGGGGACTTTGTTATAGTTTGAGCAGATGATTTGTTAACTAGCCTCCTGAGATGTCAGTGGGTCAAAACAGGATGCCAGGTAACTCCTAGCTACCATGTGACAAAGGAGTTCCTAAAAAAATTCTTGCACTGAAAATTAAACAGGAAAAAAGAAAAAAAAAAACCCAGAGAAACCTGACTCTGAATATTTCATAGTACAATAAGTTAGGAAACAGCATGGCAATATTGGCAGATTTGAAGTGGAAATTTTTTTTAAAAATGTGATCCTAGAAGTGTAGTGCCAGACAAAAATGAACACTGTATTTTTTTAAAGGAAGAATAAATAGATGTTATACGTTGTCAAGGACTGTGTATATTCAAGGTTTTATGTAATACAACAGGTAATCAATGTCTATTCTTAGAAATTTATTCAAGCCAATCAAAAAATTAATAGTATTTAATGGTTTAAAAGAGGAAATCCTAATTGTAAATACCTGCAGGTGAGCCTAGAAAATAGGTAAATTTTAATAAGTAAAAATAATTTTATAAATGTGATCAGTTACCTACAAATATATAAATAGTTGCTTAAGTACAAGATGGCACATTTTAAATAATTATTTAATTAAAATGCGACAAGAAACTGAAGCTTATATTAACACACTAAGAAGGCAATGATTAGTATAAACATATTAGACTCCATTCTCAGTGCACATGGAGAAGGCAGTCAGTATTCTATTCTTGAATTTCAGCATTTAGAAAAATTATTTGAAAGAATTTGTCTCTTTCTATTGTCTAATTTTTCATACTCAGAAGAGATGGACAACATGAAAAATCTAGTCTTGTGCCTGTCTCTTGAAAATATTCTCTTTGGATTATTAGAGTGCATTTTTTATTGTTTACTGGTACATTTTAGGAGTGCATTTTTGAAGCAAAGGGAAGCCAGGAAGAGAGAAGGAAGAGATGGAGTAAGGTATTCAGTCGCTGTTTCATCAAGGGAGGCATTGGTGGCTCCCTAATGGGTGGTTCCCTCCAGTCATTCCCCTTAGGCACTTGAGGCTGTCAGGTAACAATCTTAGTAGCAGGACCCTCCAGTTATTTCTTGTTCTCATTTTTCTAATATTGAGGTAAGTTTTGAGACATTAACTGGGATTTTCACCTCTGTGCCATGTAAAAACATTCTTATTAGGTAAATTTAAGATGTACAAAGACATAATTACATTTATGATGCAATCCTGGCAGCAGATGCTATGTTACAGACTATTGAAGGAAAGATGCAGGGCAAGGAAAGCAGTTACGAAACCACAATGGTCATGAAGCAATAAGGGTTCTGCCCCAGGTTCTAGCAGTGGGAACAGGTCTGAAATGTGATCAGTTATCTACAGCATTGTCAAGTAATGGGTTAGATGGGGAAAAGGAGGTGGGACAGATAAAGTGTCTAATTTGAGTAGTTTAAGCAGAAGACATGAGGAAGTATACTAAGCAGAAATTCAGCAGGTAGGAGGCCTGAAAGAGGAATACTTAGTTCAAATTGGACCTAGCAAAAGGTACAATATCTAGAAAATAATTAAAGTACAAAAGTGCCTTCATATTACTTATCTCATTTAAATCTCTCACAAACTCTTTGAAGTCATTCTTA